TATATAACCTACCTACCTACCTAGTCTTTTTTCAGCCTTTAATTATTCTTTTATTTCCCTTCTTTTCCATTTCATTTGCTCTTAATGTTTCAGCCACGGCAAGGGAAGTCAGGATTTGAAATGCAACAGGTCACTTTTTTTTCTTTCTTTGTGGTTTTGGAAAAGGACAAAATACTTGTAATAGCAGTGACCACAAAGAAAAGTTCAAAGTTTTATAAAACATAAACATCTGCTTCCTAAACCACTTTTAAAAATCCAAATTCAACAAAATTAACAACCCATGGCAATACTCCCAGGTCTACTTTGAAAGATGATTAACATGATTTAAATCAACTGAAAATCAGAAGTGCAGGATTTGTGCAGAGACCTTAAGAGAACCATTTGTAGAAGAAACTGAGGCCCAAAGAGCCTGAGAGAGTTTTGCTCCATCCTGTCACGAGCCCTGAGACCCCACTCCTGTTTCTGCAGTAAGACCACGTGTTTCCCCAGAACAAGAAGGAACAGATCTGTGTTTTTTTACAATGGGAAAAATTGCCTTAGGCTTTTTATACACTTAAAAATAAAAATAGTCATGATAGGAATAAACCTGAATTTCAAAGAGAGGAGCAATATTAACAGCTATTAAATAGGAAGGTTTGTGAAAAGAAATTTTATGGGACAAAGTAATTTCTCTTGGTAATGAGTGCTTCGAGATTTTTAATAACCTATTTTTCATGATGATACTGAAATAAGTTGACACTGAGTACAGTATGGCTATTTAACAAACATATTTTAATGTTAACTATATATTTTGGATGTCCTAAGCTGCCAATAGTTTTTTTTCCCCCCCTGTAAATAAACCTCATGTTAACTTTGACAGTGGAACATGGGAGATGCGCTTGGGAAAAGTCCCGATGCCAGCAGTAACCCTCTGCTCAGGTGCTCGCCAGGCTTTCCTGGTCCTGCTGTCGTCCTGCTGACAGACACTTCTGCAAAACCAAAGCGAGCAATTGAGAGACATAAGTCAGTGCTGGGTGACACGACACTAACTTCCACCATTTATAAATCCCCATCTCAGCCAAATGTCGATTCATTTCCCATGTTCTCAGCACGTATGCTAACATATCATGGCATGCCGTTGAATGTGCCCACTAGTCACTATTTTTTCAGTCTCTGCTTTAGACATATTTTTCAACAATAGGGGGCCTTGGGGCTTGCGAGAGGAGAAGAGAAAGGTGGAATAAATAAAAGAGAATACCAATTTTTTAAAATATATAAGGAATGATATATGTACCACATCTTCTTTATCATTCCTCTGTCAATGGACATTTAGGTTGCTTCCGTGTCCTGGCTGTTGTAAATAGTGCTGCAATGAACATTGGGGTGCATGTGTCTTTTCAAATTATGGTTTTCTCCAGGTATATGCCTAGGAGTTATATACAATGGAATATTACCCAGCCATAAAAAAGAACAAAATAATTCCATTTGCAGCAAATGGATGGAACTAGAGATTGTCATACTGAGTGAAGCAAGTCAGACACAGAAAGACAAATACTGGTATCGCTTATATGTGGAATCTAATAATAGGGTATGAATGGACTTATTTACAAAATAGAAGTAGAGTCACAGATGTAGAAAACAAACTTATGGTTACCAAGGGGGAAGGGGGTACATTGGGAGATTGGGATTGACACAAACACACTGCTATATATAAAATAGATAACTAATAAGAACCTACTGTTTGGCACAGGGAACTCTACTCAATACTCTGTAATGGCCTATATGGGAAAAGAATCTAAAAAAAGAATGGATATATGTATATGTATCACCAATTCACTTTGCTCTACACCTGAAACTAACACAACATTGTAAATCAACTCTACTCCAATAAACATTGAAACTATATTATATACAAGGAATGAAATGAAAAAAGTGATCAAAGTGTCAGCTTTATTACTGATAAAAGTCGATTGGAGAATGGGACTTACATGAACAGGAATAATAGGTTTCATAATCTTGAACCCAAGAATTGGACATACCTGCCCACTCCAGGCTGTGGAGAGCAGCCCTAGTTCCGCCATGTGGGTGGGGACCCCTCCCTGCAGGATGTGGCATCCGCTCAGCACATAGTGGTACACGTCCTGGGGGAAGGGAAGGGGTGGGACTGAGCTACACAAGCTTGTTGCTTCCCCCTAACTCAGTGATCAGATAAGTCACACCACCTCCCCTGTGGGGAGAGGCAGGAGGCTAAGATTCTTAGGAAACTTCCTTTTCTTTTTGGAGACCATTTAGGTGGAAAATGTAGATGGGAGAGGGGAGGTGTCAGAGGACGGACGGAACAAAAAGTGCCCACTGAACTGAGAAGGCATCTTGAGATCAAACAACGAGGCAGGAAGCCCCGTGTAATCAGGGGATCAATTTATTACAGGGTAACTTACTCACAGGGTGGGATTGGGCAGAAAATGATCTGGAAGCATTCGCGGAGGCTATGGCCACTGGGACAATTTGATAGTTAACCTGGGGTATGGGGTGCTTGGAAATACGGCATGTATTCCTAAGTCAAGATTTATGAGTGGGTAACTAGTCTTGTGGGCGCCCGGAATACGCCAGCAAAGGTCTTCAACATTGGAGACTAACAGAGCATAGAGGCCACCTGGTCCTAATGATGATGAAACAATATCTATTAACTCTAAAGCCCCTGACAACAGAGAAGTGATTCACTGCACAGTACAGTCCTGGGTAGTGTCAATGGAAGGACAGGAGGAACTGTCAGGGCCCAAGATGGCATCAGCCATGCTGACAGCCATACGGGAGGTGTCAAGGGACTGACCCCTTTGAAACCTCAGTGGCCACATCTGTGAAGTTAAGTTCCCCATGTCCAAGAGGTTGAGAGAATAAAAGGAGATATGGCCTGGAGACCGGCACACAGTGAGTGCTAAAAAAAATAGCGATTACTTTCAGTCTTCAGATAATTCCTCGTGTTCCTTCATCTTTACTCTGGTCACAGACTGACCAGGTTTGTTATTTGGAAACAGATGGATACAGCGCCATCCTCTGAAATAGGGCAAATCTGAGACAGAACAGATTTGTGAGCAGTAGCGAATTTCACTTTGGATCTGAGCTTGAAGCCTCTGTGTCCATAGGCACTTGGATTTATGATTTTTGTATTTCAGGAGAAAATTAACTAGTTAACATGTAGCTCAGTTTGGAAATTAAACCGTGGAAGCCCTTTAGAGGCTGAAGACTGACCCTGATGAGCACAGCATGCTGGGGGGACAGGAGGAAAACCAGGAGAGCGGGCAGCACAGAAGTCAAGGCGAGGGACCCTTTCAGGAAGGAGGGAGGAGTCCGCCGTGTCCGATGCTGCAGGGGGGCCAGGTTGGATGGGAGCCAAAGGAACAGGGGGACTTGCAGAGATGGCCGTACGCATTATTAGCTCTCAGATACGGAGCACTCACTGTATGTTGATCACTGTGCTGGTTGCCCACATGCAATATTTAATTCTCAAGAACGCTACCCCATGTTATAGATTAGGGAAGTGAGAGTCGGAAAAGTCTACCGCCAGCTTGGCTTAGGTCACAGAGCTGGGACAGGACAGAGCTGGGACTCAGGCCCCTGCCCTCTGACTCTTAACCACTGAGGCTCCTTCCTTCTGGACGACTGGCTTTTGCCCCCGTGGTGGGTGAGGACAAAGCACTGTGGGTGGAAAGGGAGCCACGAGGGAGGGGAGTGGGGAGAGGATGGCGAGTGGGGGTGGGGAGGCTGAGGTTCGTCCTGGCTGGTTGGTTTGCTGTGGCTTTAGGATGGTGGGGACTTCAGCGCTGTGAAACGTGGACAGGGGCTCAGAGGTAAGCCAGAGTGAGGAGGCCTACGGAGACAGCAGAGTGCGGACCTGTGGGGCAGGGCAGGGAGTGACCTTAGGAGGGAGAACCCCTCCTCCTGCACCTGGGGACAGAGCACAAGGAACTGAATGTGTTGGTTTAATGTCAGAGCATTAAGGAAGTTCTCCTCTGACTGCTCTCATTTCTCTCTACCTGGAACACCCGGCTTACCCTTCAGGGTCACACCTGGTCATGCTCTGAGCCCTGAGACAGGATTATCTGCTCTGGGTCCACTCGGAAGGACCCAACCCTCCCCTGCTGGTCGTGACATCAGGCTGAGTCAGCAGGAGGAAATTCAGGTTGCATCAAAGACATGGTGCCACTCTGCAGGGGCTTATGGTTTGAAAAGGGACCAGGATAAGTACATAAAAGTACCATATAATAGGGGGAAGAACCACACACACAAAAAAAGACATATGCGTGGTGCTGAGGATTTCAGTCGTGTGATAGAGAAAATGGAGCACTTCTGTGAGTGATATGTGGAGTGAGTGTGGTTTTCAGCTGGTTGTTGAAGAAGGGGAGTATTTTCAACTGACAAGGAATAAGCCATTTTACTTGGAGAAAGTAGCCTCAGAAATGGCAGAAAGCTTATTTGGGGAGCGAGGGGTGGTCCCATCTGGCTAAAGATGGAATATGCTGGAATTTGGGTCCAGGATGCAATGGAAGGGTCTTGAGTCCTACACTAAGAAATCCTGCTCCCTTGAGATTAATTTCCTACTTTTATCTGATCGGGAAACACTGTGGGTGTGTTCAGAGACAGTTGTAAGCAGCCTTTTGGGCTTAGCCAAGGAGTTGATCCTAAGAGTTTAGAAATCATACCTACCATTTTCATTCCAGAAATTAGGTCACTATCCTGAGAGTTTCAGGATACCAGAATGCACCCAGTCTCCCAAGAACACCTTCGAGCATCTGAGGAAAAGGGCCCTGACCGTCTCCCTGTGGTTTGGCAGTTACTGACTGGGTCATCCTGGGGGTTGGGAGAGCCGTGTGGGGAGCTGAGCCAGGACTGTGCTTGGTTCTCCAGTTATAGGCTCAGGACCAATACTAGGTTTCTTACTACTTTTGTAAATCACTATTCTCAAGAACTATTTCTAGACAAAAACATAAAATAAAAATTTAAAACCTCTTTTTCTCTTTCAGTGAAGAAAAAGAAGCCTAAACTATTAAATAAATTTGATAAGACTATTAAAGCTGAACTCGATGCTGCAGAGAAACTCCGTAAACGGGTAGGTGGTTGTTTTGCTTTTCGCAGGAACATGCGATGGTTTCTTTGTTAAATAAACTCAGCCATTACTCTTGATTTGTTTTTTAAAAAAACTGTAAGAGAAACAACCTTTGAATAGAGTGGATTTTTCTCCAGGCACATCAGCATTCCATGTGAAGTGAATCAAGTGAAAAGAAAAACAGCAGCTGTAATGGCCAAATAGAAATAGAACTTTACCGTCAGGCCAGCCGACTTGGGTGTCAGCCCCGCCCATCACAGTCTACTCTGGTGGCTTTGGGCAGCTCACTTAGTCATTCTGAGCCTCCATTTCCTTATTTTAAAAAATGAGACTAATACGTGCTCTCCCTACTTCCTACTTGGTCTTTTCTAATGAGGTAAGAGATTACAAACGAAGCATCAGTACTGTCAAGTACCATACAAATAGGGGTTTTAATTTTTTTTTTTTTTTTTTTGCGGTACGCGGGCCTCTCACTGTTGTGGCCTCTCCCGTTGCGGAGCAACAGGCTCCGGACGCGCAGGCTCAGCGGCCATGGCTCACGGGCCCAGCCGCTCCGCGGCACGTGGGATCTTCCCGGACCGGGGCACGAACCCGCATCCCCTGCATCGGCAGGCGGACTCTCAACCACTGCGCCACCAGGGAAGCCCAAGTAGGGGTTTTCATTTTAAAGCAACTCGACGCAAAAAGAAAACATAGGTTAGTCCAATACTCTTAGGATAGTTACTGTTAAGGTGAAATGATGTTAGATTTAAGATTCTTCTCACTTGGGGTTAACCTCACGCACCTCCAGTTTCCAGGGGGACTGTTTTGCTTTGTCATCAGTTAATTTGAAATATTATTTGCATTTGTTTCTGGATATTACAGTTTTTGAAAAGTCAATTAACCCTAGATTGAAGTTATCTGTTCTCTTAACTCCATCATACTCATGTAATTATTGGGCCAAATATTTATTATAATGTATCTAATGACATCTTCACTTAATCATCTACAGGCATACCTCATTGTATTGTGCTTCATCGATATTGCGTTTTTTACAAATTGAGGGTTTGTGGCAGCCCTGTATCAAACAAGTCTATTGGTGCCATTTTTCCAACAGCATTTGCGCGCTTCGGGTCTCTCTGTCACATTTTGGTAATTCTCGAAATAATTTCAAACCCTCCACCAGCAGAAAGATTATGACTCACTGAAGGCTCAGATGATGATTAGCATTTCTTAGCAATAAAGTATTTTTAAATAAGGTATGTGCATTGTTTTTCTAAACATAATGCTATTGCACACTTAATAGACTACAATATAATGTAAACATAACTTTTATATGCACTGGAAACCAAAACATTCATGTTACTCACTCTATTGTGGTATTCGCTTTATCATGGTGGTCTGGACCCAAACTTGCAAGATCTCTGAGGTCTGCCTGTAGTTGTTTCTCATGAAAATTTCTTTCTCTACTCTATACTTGAATTTATAGTTGCATTTTACACTAATACTCATTAGTTTTCCTGTAATGTGGTTTTTAATCAGTAGACGTTAGCTGAAAAAAAAAAAAAAAGGAATAAGGGGACTGTCATAGGTAAGCGACAACAATAAAAACACTCGAGTTAGGCACTGAAGTGGGACGAGAATGTGCTTCCCCCCATATTTATTGGAAAAGTCCCAACAAGCATGGCGACGTCTGTAACTAGCATTAGGCAAGGTTCCCAAACCAAAGCCTGGCTCACGCTGGTCAGCAGCTGATACAAAGGTAGTAACTCCAAAGAATATTACAGCAAAGTCTTTGTTCACTAAATTAACATCGAATGATTTCTGTGTCTGTCTTGTTTGACTTTATAAAATGCAGCCATCTACTATTTGTTGAAAATTTGCATTTCTTAATAGAAACGAAGCAGGAATCTTCTTTCTCTATCACCTTGTTTGGCATTCTCCACTTTCTCTGTGCTACATGCCCTTGATGAAAATGGATGCCTATTTCACAGGTGACTTTAGGGATAAAGAACAAACGAACAGCTTTAGAGAAGGATTTTTATGTAATTATAATGAATAGTAGAGAAGGGCTCAGTTATCAAGGGGCAGATAAGTCAGTGAAGCATAAAAATGCTGGAACAATCCATGGGGTATTCTCCAGTTCTCGCTTATCTGGAGAAATTTTGATGCTTTCTTCAAGGAGCACCGTGGATCTATAACAGGGTAAATAAAGGAGGAAGAAGGGCCCACAGAGGCAATTCTTGCTTCTGAAACAGCAGGGAGCCATGTCATTGACTGAGTCATCAGCGTAATTAAATTTTTTAGGGTTGTTTTTATAGCTGGTAGTTTCAAATAATGCAACCGACTATACTGGGATTGCTACGGCCATAAGGCAGCAATGGTCAGAGGAGGCCTGGTCTCAGGCCACACCCATGTTTCAGAAACTATGTGACATGAAAGTATGAGGTCACTTTAGTTTTCCTGCAAAAATGCATGGATCATATTTTAATCATCAATTTTTTTTTTATTTTTATTTTTTGCGATACGTGGGCCTCTCCCGTTGCGGAGCACAGGCTCCGGACACACAGGCGCAGAGGCCATGGCTCACGGGCCCAGCCGCTCCGCGGCATGTGGGATCTTCCCGGACCGGGGCACGAACCCGTGTCCCCTGCATCAGCAGATGGACTGTCTACCACTGCGCCACCAGGGAAGCCCAATCATCAATTTTTTAAAATAATATTTATTGCTTAAAACTCCTCCTTATGCCCCAGAAGAAGGATTTGAAATGATACACTGAAATATTTGTTCATTTGTTGGAATTAGTTTTTATTATTGTTTTATAAGTGGAGAAAAAGAGAGAAGGGAAAACTTAATAAAGTCAGAGTAAGTGCGACACACGGAAGTTCACACCACAGGCTCTAAACGGGGCTGGGAAAGAAGTAAACTGCGGGCAGAGCAAGGAAGGGGTGTAGATCACACTGTCAGACGGATAGTAGTCCTCAGAATAGCTGTTCTGCACCAAGTCCAGAGAGGAACCTTATGCCGTAGATCTTCATAAAGGGCCCAGTGATGGATGGCACAGTGTCCTCCCTAATGTCTCCTCCGCAGGTTCTATGTGACCTCCATGGGGTGTGTCTTAATGTCCTTCAGCGCAGCCCGCTGGCCTCATGCCAGAACAGGGGCCGGGGGAGGGGGGGGATGAGGCAAGTACATGTCTCTCCAGTGAACTGTCTTGGTCCTAGGATAAAATGTAAGCTGTGTTGAAGAACAGATGATTTTCAGGCAATTGTTCGGGAGCACTCTATCTTGTGGTTGAGTTTTTTAAGAAGAATTGTGTAATAGTATCTGGAGCTATATTCTCCAGCAAGAACCTGGGGAACGGAAATTTTTTTCAGACTAAAAGCAAACACATTAACTTTGCCAGACCTCTGAGGTGAGGGCAGGGCTGATGATTCCTTAGGAAAGGCACAGAGCATCTGTGTTAAGGGATCCAAAGGATGCCTGGGACAGAGCCAGCGTATTCCATTATTTTTATAACCTTGATGGCCAACTAAGGGAGTGTTAAGCTGGAAAAAATACTTTCACAGAGTTGTTATGAATATTGTTAATCCTATGGTTTAAATCTGGAAATGGTGCATTTAGCATGATTTTCACAAAAATAGCCTCAATATTTGCAATTTAAGTTGTGTAAGTCATGTGATAGGTGAAAAATAATCCCTCCAAAGATATCTGTGTCCTAATCCCTGGAACCCGTACATGTTACTGTGTTTGGAGAAAGGGTCCTTGCAGATATGATTAAGTTAAGGGTCTTGAGATGGGGGATTAACCTGGGTTATCCAGTTGGGCCCAAAATTCAATCACATGTTTCCATATAAGAGAGAGGCAGAGGGAAATCTGATACAGACAAAATAGGAAAAGGCACACACAGGAGAAGGCAATGTGAAGACAAAGTGGAGATTGGGATGATGTCAGGAAATGCTGTCGCAGATTCTCCCCTAGAGCTTCTAGAGGAGGAACGGCCCTGCCCACATCTCGATTTCAGCCCCAGTGAAACTGATTTTGGACTTCTGTTCTCCGGAACCATGAGCAAATGAATTTCTGTTCTCTTAAGCCACAAAGTTTGTGGTCATTTGTTACAGCAGCCTCAGGAAACTCAACAGGTGAGTTAGAGGAAAGTCACACAGAGAAGGATATTTAACATGAATTCTTCATCCCTTACAATCACTCATGGAAGAAATAAGATGGTGGTTTTAGAAACTGTTATCCAAAATATACAAAAAACTCATAAAATTCAATGATAAGAAAAACAACCCAATTTAAAAATGGGCCAAAGACCTTAAAAGACAACTCACCCAAGAAGATATTCAGGTGGCAGATAAGCATATGAAAAGATGCTCCACCTCATATGTTATGAAATTCAATTTAAAACAAAATGGATATTACTACACACCTATTAGCCCAAAATCTGGAACACTGACACCACCAAATGCTGGTGAGCATGTGGAGCTTCAGAAACTCTCACTCACTGCTGGTGGGAGGCACAGTAGTACAGCCACTTCGGAAGACAGTTTGGTGGGCTTCTTACAAAACTAAGCATACTCGTAGCATACAGTCTAGAAATCTTGCTCCTTGGTATTTATCCAAAGGAGTTGAAAACTTAGGTTCTCACAAAAACCTGCACATGGATGTTCATAGCAGCTTTCGTAATTGCCAAAACCTGAAAGCAACCAAGATGTCCTTCAGTAAATGAATGGATGGATAAACCGGGGTACATCTAGACAATGAAATCTGATTCAGCACTAAACAGAAATGATCTCTCAAGCCATGAAAAGATAGGGAGGAAGCTTAAATTCATATTACTAAGTGAAAGAAGCCAATCTGAATAGGCTACATACTGTATGATTCCAACTATATGACTTTCTGGAAAATGCAAAACTATGGAGACAGTGGATACCTGTCATTCTACATTTGTCCAAACCCATAGAATGTACAACACCAAGAGTGAACCCTAGCGTAAACTATGGACTTTGGGTGATTTCAGTGTGTCATTGTAGGTTCATCAATCGTAACAAATGTACCACTGTGCTGAGCGATGTTGATTATGGGGGGAGGCCGTGCACGTGTAGGGGTAGGAGGTATGTGAGAAATCTCTAGACTTTCCTCTCAATTTTGCTGCAAACCTAAAACTGCTCTAAAAAAATAAAGCCTTTAAAAAAGTTAATATCGTGAGAGACACAGCATATTTTAAATAGCGATACAATGATTTCTGACAATAAATATAACTTAGAGAATATGTTCCTGACTTGATCTATCTCAGCCTTCAAGTCCTCATTCTCTTTGCATTAAGCTGTCCATCAGATAAGAGACCTACCTGGGGCACGCTTTATTGTCTCATGTGGGCTCACACATCCTCCCCACGCTACGATAGTAATAATCATAATAGCTACCATTTTTCATTGCTTTCCATGCGCTCTGCAGCGGCTATAAGCATTTATATATGTTATCAGATTTGACCTTCACAGCAGCCCAACAAAGTGATCAAGTACCCTCATTGTACCCATGTCACAGATGAGGCATATAAGGCAAAGTCGTAAGTAACTTGCCAGGAGTCACACGCCTCCTAAGTGGTGGAGCCCAGGGTCTAGCCAGTCACTCTGGCTCTGGAGCCCGCACTCATGACCACTCCTCTGTGCATATACTGTCTCCCAGACCCTCAGTGCCACTGATGGGCATGTAACAGGGAATAGGAAACCTCCTTCTTCCATGATTTTAAGGAACTTGAATATGGATATTGCCTGTCTCTATTTAGTCAAGCTGTGGAGAAGTAGGTATCAGTAATGATCAGGTAGTAATGTATGGTTTGCTGAGCCCAGCCACGTTTGAGGCATAAACTCTGTTGATGTGAAAGCTCACTCAGTGAGGGTGACAACGTACAAACCACAGTGAGCTTGCATTTATGCATGGAATGAATGGATTTATGGATTGATAGGCAGCTGAAGTGGTGGTAAAGTTCAACTCAGAAAATCCATCTCCATCGCACAGTTCCAATATTCTGACCTGCCGCCTTCCATTAGACACCAGGGGATGTGTGTTTCTCTTTGTGGATGGACTGCGAAGGGGAGAGGTGCCTCACCCCCATGCCAAGACCACCAGCAAGCTTACCTGTTACACATCCCCCATTTCCGCTTGCACAGTGGTGGTCAGAGACCTACCACAGGTGCTTGGACCAGCTTCTTAAGGGCCCGCGTGGGCTTTGGGAGGAGGGGGGGGTCACATAACAAGGAAGCAGTGGGGTGCCCCAGCAACCCGGTGAGCCGCATCAACCCTCATGTTCAATGGGTGACAACGTCGGCGGCCAAGTGGCCCTGTCATCCTGCGTGCTTATTCCCTGCCGACAGTGCCCTTCTCATTGCAGACCCCAGGCATTCTAGCTGCTAGCAGTATGCTTCCCCCAACTGAAATCCTAAACTTTTTTAAGAGTGCATGTGGGAACTGTACATATAGAGAGAAAATGCAATTTCTTTTTTTTTCTTTTTGTTTTTTGGTACGCGGGCCTTTCACTATTGTGGCCTCTCCCCTTGCGGAGCACACGCTCCGGACACGCAGGCTCAGCGGCCATGGTTCACGGGTCTAGCCACTCCGTGGCATGTGGGATCTTCCCGGACCGGGGCACGAACCCATGTCCCCTGCATCGGCAGGCGGACTCTCAACCACTGCGCCACCAGGGAAGCCCTGTTTTTCTTTTTAAAATTTTTATTGGAGTAGAGTTGATTTACAATGTTGTGTTAGTTTCAGGTGCACAGCGAAGTGAATCAGCTATACATATACACGTATCCACTCTTTTCTTTTCAGATTCTTTTCCCATAGAGGCTATTACAGAGTATTGAGTAGAGTTCCCTGCGCTCTACAGCAGGTTCTTATTAGTTATCTAACTTATATATAGTAGTGTGTGCAATTTCTTTAACAATGACTCATGGTACATCATTTGCCAGGTGTCTGCCTTTTAAAAAATAAAGTGTATTTATGTTCATTTCTAGTTTTTTGTTTGTCATAATGCAGTTAGTTATTTAGAATCTTAGGATAAAATTGTCTTAAACTCAGAAAGGAGTCCAGGAAATTTTGACAAAATTACTTGGTGAATATTAAATTGAATAACATTATGCATTTGCATTTATTGTATGTATATAATTGCCTTTTCCTAACAGGGAAGAATTGAGGAAGCAGTGCATGCGTTTGAAGAACTGGTTCGGAAGTACCCTCAGAGTCCAGGAGCGCGATATGGGAAAGCAAAGGTATGCTGAAACCTTGCTACTGAGGATACTGTTTTGATGTCCTTATGCTCTGTATAATTGGATTTTCAAACCCAGTATTTGCATTTTATTTTTCCTTTCTAACTTGTATAGAGAATCGATTTCTCATGCAGGTACATAAATTCAAGCAGTAATTACAGTTTTAAATGAGACAATTAATTATTGCTATTTTGTATTGTGAATTTAGTAACATATTTTGCTCCCCCTCCATCTGGCTTCTCTCCGGTTTTGAAAAGAAAAGAAAGAATAACACTTTTGTCACTGGTTTCCCATCACCCTCACGTTTGTTCCATTTAGACCCACTACCTAGTTTTTACTTCAGGCTCCTTAGAGGTTTAAGAACCTCATTTTATCACTAGAGGTTGCAAAGTGTGGTTAGAAAAGACTTTTAAAATATAAAGTGGGATGGACTTTGTTCTCTGTATAGTTTCTGTCAGTTGACTCATTTCCTAGCCCTTACCTTCTCCCCAGCGCCTTCCCCACCTTCTCCTTTCTTTTCTTGCGTTATGCGGGCCTCTCACTGTTGTGGCCTCTCCCATTTGCGGAGCACAGGCTCCGGACGCGCAGGCTCAGCGGCCATTGCCCACGGGCCCAGCCGCTCCGCGGCACGCGGGATCCTCCCGAAACGGGGCACGAACCCGCGTCTCCCACACCGGCAGGCGGACTCTCAAGCACTGCGCCACCAGGGAAGCCCTCCTTTCTTTCTTTTTTTTTAAAAATTAATTTATTTACTTTTGGTGGCATTGGGTCTTCATTGGGTTGTGCAGGCTTCTCATTGCAGTGGCTTCTCTTGTTGTGGAGCACGGCCTCTAGGCTCGAGGGCTTTAGTAGTTGTGGCTCTCGGGCTCTAGAGCGCAGGCTCAGTAGTTGTGGCACACGGGCTTAGTTGCTCCGTGGCGTGTGGGATCTTCCCGGACCAGGGCTCGAACCCGTGTCCCCCGCATTGGCAGGCAGATTCTCAACCGCTACCTTCTCCTTTCTTATTGGACTTTCTCCATCTTCCAGCTCCTCAATTCATAAAGCTTTTCCACGTCCTTCTGTAGCTGGGAAACCCTCTGTGGGCCACATTCTGTTTTAGATCCTGGGATTTATCATGAAGAACACTCTCGAGGTCTGTGTCCTTGTGGAGCTTATATTCCAATGAAAGATATTTTAAAAGTTTCTTACTCAAGTTTTTTGTAGTGAAAGGCCGCTCTGTGGCAGGCCTATTCTAGGCATTGCAGGCACAGCCATCAACAAAGCACATGGTGTTTTCATTGTAATGGAGAAGACAGTGCATGAGACATAGCTACTGGATACTTTGTCAGGAGACAAAAATAAAGAAGAGCACAGCCATAGGATGTGTGGGGGGTTGAAATTTTGGATAGGGTGGAAGGAAAATATCTCACCGAGGAGGTGATGTTTGAGCAAACCCCTGAAAGTCTTTATAAATAAATATATATTTAAAGAATATTAGAAGGGTTAGAAACAAATCTTTAGAACATCTTACATGATAATACATGCCATAGAGAAAAGAAGGTCATGGAATAAAGAACATGTTATTATGATTTTTTGTTTGTAGGTGGTATGATTGAGAGTGACACAGCAACACGATAATAAGGTGATCAGCAAAGGCCTCCCTAGGGAGGTGACAAGTGGCTGAAACATGTCAAGGTCGAGGAAGGAGCTGTCCAGGCAGAGGGAAGAAGGGGGGCAAGGGCTGTGATGCAGGGAATCAGCCTTGGCTTGATTGGAAGGACAGGAGCAGGGGCATGCTGAGGGAGGTGACACGGGCAGGCAGGAGCAGGGCCTCTCAGGTTGTATTCTCTGTGCGCTGGGGGCCCTTGGAGGGTTTGTGCATGGGTGTGCCCGTCTGGTTGGTTTTTTTTTTGTTTGTTTTGTTTTTTTTTGCGGAGCACAGGCGCCAGATGTGCAGGCTCAGCGGCCATGGCTCACAGGCCCAGCCGCTCCGCGGCATGTGGGATCTTCCCGGACCGGGGCACGAACCCACGTCCCCTGCATCGGCAGGCGGACTCTCAACCACTGCACCACCAGGGAAGCCCTGGTTGTTTTTTAAATAGCGATCACTTTGGTTGCTTGGTGGAGAATGGATTCTGGTGGCACAAGTAGAAGCCAGAAGAATAGGAGACGATTACAGGTGCCCTCGAGATGTGCTGGCTCAGACTGTGGTCATGGCCGTGGAGACAGAGCAGTGGACAAAGGCAGAGCTGAGAGGTCTTGATGATGGATTAGATGTAAGGGTCAGAGAGAAGACTCGAAGGTGACTTCGGATTTTCCGCTCCATGCGGCTTGCTGGGTTCCAGACCAAGGGTGGAAACCAGGCCCCCTGCAGTGGAAGTGCGGAGTCCTAACCACTGGACTGCCAGGGAATTCCCAACTTCAGGGTTTTTGGTTAAGCCATCTAAGGAAAGGATAGTGCCAGGTGGAGGAGGTTTGGGGAGGTACAAAATCAAGCATTCGCATTTGGTCCTGTGAAGTTTGTGATGCCTATTAGAGACGCAAGTGCACGTGTCAAACAGACCGTCGGAGATAATGTAGTCTGGAACTCTGGGTAAAAGCCAGGGCTGATGTACAAATGTCAGGCAGTAAAGCTCCTCCAGCCCTGCCTGGGGGGATGAGACTGTCAGCCCTGCTGGGAAATGGCAGATGCAGAGCTGCAGAAATTTTCCAGACCCAGGAGAAGCTGATAACCCCCCTTTGGAGGGGGCAGTGCTGTCACTTGTGGGTGACACTCACATGGAAACTAACACATCTGGAGATAAAGCGAATGTGCTTTGCTCTGAACTAAAGGTGGCAACCACTCGAAATCCAGATGCTCAAATTCTTCCTATCTCCCCCTTAAAAACTTATTAATTAAATTTGTATTAATTCAGTTTTAATAAATTTGTGAAAATTTAATGCAAAGAAGTTCCTTTTATCCATGGTGCAATACAGACTAGGTTTAGAAGACAGCAACTGTATCATTTCTATCAACTAATTTGGTCAGTAATCCTCCAAAATTGCTAAATTGTATTGCTATTAAGCGAGAGAGAATATATTTCTTACCAAAAGATGGCGCCTATTCAAATACGTGACGTGCTTTGCTGCTACTCCCGGCAGTCATTTGATTAAGAAAAAGCATATGAACTCAAAAGAATAAGGATTGGGCCAAATGCTCATCATGGCAAAAACGGTTCATGCTTTAGAATTTTTCTTTATATGTGATGTTAATTGCGGGTACCAAAGTCTAAATAAATGCAATACTTTTTGCACGTGGCACTTGCTATATTTATACCCTTGTTTACAGTCAGAATTTGAGATTTATGCCTCAGCAATATTTTTTATCTCTAAACTATTATGCTACAAGGTGTTATCAATATTAACATTAATGCAAAATTTAAGCATGGTAAATTAAATTTTAATAGAATAATTTAAAAGAAAGCTTAAATTTGTAGGAGTTTTAAAAGTTCAACAGAACACGGATTTTGTAAGGAGGAGTACGTGATGACTTTTTCGTTCTTTGTTAGCAGATTAAACAACTACTTTGGAATATCCCAACAAATTTTTCAAATTCAGCAACATTAAGTTAAATAGAAACTACAGTATCTGTCATTTCTAAAGTAGCACTGGGGCTTCCCTGGTGGCGTAGTGGTTGAGAATCACCTGCCAGTGCAGGGCACACGGGTCCGAGCCCTGGTCCGGGAAGATCCCACATGCCATGGAGCAGCGAGGTCCATGTGTAACAACTACTGAGCCTGTGCTCTAGAGCCCGTGAGCCACAACTACTGAAGCCCGCATGCCCTAGAGCCCGTGCTCCGCAACAAGAGAAGCCACCACAATGAGAAGCCCGTGCACCGCAACGAAGAGTTGCCCCCGCTCGCAGCAAGTAGAGAAAGTCCATGCGCAGCAAGGAAGACCCAACACAACCAATAAATATATAAATAAATCACTAATAAAATACATGAAAAAAAAAGTAGCACTGGTAGTGTCTTATTCTTTGGATTGCTGTGAAAATCAATTTTGACCAAGTTCCTTGAACATCAGACAAAAAATTATGAGCTCAATTCACTTTATTATCTTACACAAACCATTAGTGCCTCTCAGGCAGAAAATGCCACATCTCAGGCATCTTCAGGCATCTTCTTGCCACAAATAGGAAGGTTGGATGGGGAATTCATTTGAATCAACAAAAGTCTTTCTGATGTTAATGTCCTGTAGCAAATGCTCAGTTTCAGGGCAAATCCTTTATCTACAGATGCTAAACTAATCAATATCAATCAATTTTGATATTCACAGCAAAGCCTATCAGTTTTATTTAAGAGACTTTGAAGAATTATGTACTATTTTAACACTGATATTAAAATTCCATTTCTGGAAGTTCTAAAATGTTTATACTTCATTAAAATGAAGGACCTTGAGGATGGAGGAGGGAAAGGAACAAGGCATGTAGTTGTATCATCTGTCTGTCATTTCAGATTGAGTTTAGTTAAGATATTTATTCCCCTCTATATAGAGAATGATGTCTCGGTTGACATTTGCCCTTGAACTAACCTTGAAGAGACCCTCCAGTTCCAGGATCTGTTTGGTAGCGTGAAGAGGCTACCAAATGAAGAAAGTGAACAAGATGGTCTCAAAAGGGCTCTCTCAGCTCTAGGACTCTGGCATTCTGTGACGTCATCTATGAATGACCATGTTTGGGGGAGTTAACTCACCATAGCCAAACTCACAAGAAACTGATGCTTAAACAGAAAAGCCAGCGTATGAATGTATAGAAGGCCATGCAGTCAGGATGACCAGTACAGGATACTGACATTGGACTTTCTCTCCTGGTAGATAAGTCTACTCTGGAGACCATTTGCAGATGTGAACAGATTGTTGTATATTCTGAAGCTTCTTTTTTCCTGTCAAGCACAGGTGAATTGCCCTTTTCTAATCTAGACATTTTCATCCTATCAATTTTCTTTTATCATCTGTCCACTGTCCATCACCACTGATTCAATTCCAGCCCTTATCATCTTGAGAAACTTAGCCTTATCAGTACATATTAACAAGTTCTTTCTTTGATATGGTATTTTATGAAAAGCTTCCCACAGGTATCTTTATCAATTTGTGCTGATTCTTGTTAGTTTTTCATTTTGGGGTGGAGGAGGGATGCATCATTTCCTTACTGTGTCCTCAAGCTGTGGAGTTAGACTTTGTTTTGTTTCTGCAGGCATCTACATACTGCCTACAGCACACACTTTGTTTTAACAAGGTAAACATGTTAAATAGGATATTCTGAGAAAAAATTACACATGCTACTTTTAGCATCTATATCGTTTTTTTCTCAAATGGTATGCTTCAAGTTGTAGTCTACTAAATCTGATGAGATTTTTTTTTTTTGCTAAGGTTTTTTTTTTTTTTTTTTTTTTTTTTTTTTTTTTTTTTTTTTTTTTTTTTTTGCTGTACCCGGGCCTCTCCCTGTTGTGGCCTCTCCTGTTGTGGAGCACAGGCTCTGGACGCGCAGGCTCAGCGGCCATGGCTCACAGTCCCAGCCGCTCCGCGGCATGTGGGATCCTCCCAGACCGGGGCACGAACCCGTGTCCCCTGCATCGGCAGGCGGACTCTCAACCACCGCGCCACCAGGGAAGCCCCCTCTGATGAGATTTTGATGACCATTTTACAGTTCACCCCTCTCTTCCTACCTCTAGTATTTCAATCCCTGTTCTCGTGGATGTTAGCATGGATGAACTGCTCTGGTCCCTTTCCCATCCCCTCTCACCTGCTGAAGGACATCATTCTAAATTTTGTGTCCCCTGCATCATCAGATTTCCGCCCTCTACTGGGTCTTCTGCATCAGCTTAGAAACAAGGTGTAATATTTCCCATTGTTAAAAAACACTCCCTTGCCTCCACATTACCCTCCAATCACTGGCCCATTTTTCTGCTCCCCTTTACGCCAAAACTCCTTGAAAGAGGTGTGTTCACCTCCTTCCCTCCTGTTTTCTCTTGAGCCACTCAGCTGCGGGTCCCCAGCAGCCCCATGGGAATGCTCTTGCTGGGACCCTCAGAGGCATCACATCGTCCCCAATCCAGAGTGATCTAGTTTCAGTTCTCATCTTGTTCAACCTGACAGCCACTTCTGATACAATTGATCACTCCCTCTCGATACCTTTTGTCACTTGCCCTCCAGAATACCACTTTTTAAATTGTTATTTTTTTCCCTCTTCCTTCCGTCCTTTTTGCTGGTCTTATCCTGGTCCTTTCTGACCTCTGATGACCTTGAAATCTTGCAGCTCTTTAGAGTTCTGTTCTTGGACCTCTTCTTTGCTCTGTCTACACTCACAGCTGCATCTAGCTTCTTAGCTCTAAGTACCCTCTGTATCCTCGATGATTCCCCAGTGTTTCTCTCACTCTGACCTCTCTCCTGAACCCCAGACACATGTAGGCACCTTTCTATCCATATCTCCACTTGAGTACCTAATAGACATTGGGGCTTAAATTTGTCCAAAACTGAACTGATCCCATATCCCTACAAACCTGCTTCTTTCTGCTCTAGCTTCCCATTCTCAGGAATGACAGTTCCAACTGGTCACTGCTCAAGCCAAAAATGTTGAATTCATCCTTGACTTCTCTCTCCCTCTCTCTTATACTCTACATTCAGACCATCTGCAAGTCTGTTGTTGGCTTTGATTTTCAAAGTACCTGTAATCCCACCACCTCTTACCACCTCATTACTGCTACCCTAGTCCAAGTTGTCATCACCCCTTGTCTTGATTCCTGCCAGAATGTCCTAACTGGGATCTCCACTTTTCCCTTTACCCACCTCTGTCTATTCTTCACATCACTGCCAGTATCCTTTCGACTCATACAGGAGATCACGTCAAAAACCGTCAGTGTCTTTCCTTCTCATGTAGAGTTAGTGTAGTAGGATTGGCAGTGGCTTACTAGGCTCTTCATTACCCAATGCCCCACCCCCCATCAGTCTCCTCCTAGCTCCCCTTCAACGTACCAGCCTTTCCTCTATTCCTCAATTCTGCCTCAGGGCCCTTGCTGTTGCTGTCCTCTCTGCCTGGAATGTTCTTTTCCTAGGTATTTTCGTGCCTCACTACTTTCAGGTCATCTCTGATCATCCCGATTAAACTAGCATCCTTCCTGCCACCCCACTGTCAGTACACAGAAGCCTACATTACTTTTATCCACAGCACTTATGGCCACAAGACACATGATACTTTTATATGTATATTGACTTTCCCTTCTAGAACGAAGCAAAATGAGAAAAGGGCTTTGTCTGTTTTGTTCAATTTGTCTGCCACCTGTCTAGAACATAATATAGTTGTTGAAGGAATGAATGAACACAGGAATAACCTAGTGAAAGAACAGGAACTGTGGACTGCAGTTCTATTAATGATGCATAACAGGATATAAATTCCATCAGCCCTCACATATATTAGTCTTGCTTTTATGATAGCCTTTCTCATCGGTAGCTTAGTAGCTAATTTTTCTTCATATTATTAAAATAACATGCCATGTTGCTTTCCTTTATTCTTTTAATCCTTGCCAAAAAGAAAATTTGAATTTGTCTTGAATCACTTTTAAAGCATATCCCAAAGTCAACTTTTCATAACTATTTTGAGCAACTGCAAATACAGCTTGTCCTGGGACATTTCTCCCTCCCTCTAGTGTGAAGATGATTTGGCTGAGAAAAGGAGGAGCAATGAGGTTCTGCGCAGGGCCATCCAAACCTACCAAGAGGCGGCCAGCCTGCCTGACGTCCCCGCAGACCTGGTGAAGCTGAGCTTGAGGCGGCGGTCAGACAGACAGCAATTTCTAGGTGAAATGGAGTAAGAATCAGTTCAGTGGCAATCAATGGCGTGCTTTTATCTGGAAAAACCTGCAGGCTGTGTATACTTTTAGAAGAGTTTAGTTACATGGAAGGGAACCTGAGTTTTATAGCGAATTTCAGGCAACTTCTCTGATTGTGTCAGGCTGAAAGAGTAATCCTTCTTAATTACAAAGATGCACATGGTACTTTGCCACTTACCCACCCCCCACACACACACACTTTAAGGAGGAGGCAAATGGAATTCTGAGAGGTTGGATACGTTGCCTAAGGAATCATAGCTAATAAATTAAAAGGTCTGCAGTCAAAAACTTCCTATCATGCCAAATTCTTCTTTTCTCTCTTAACAATAACCGACTGATTCATGGTGGCTGAAATCATCGGTGCAACAGTTTTTATGGAGGAATGTTAGGAGTTCTAAGCACTCTAAAAATTTTACCTGTAAGTTTTGACTCTATACTAAAGAAAATGATAGAAAAAAAATTTTAATCACTAAGTAAATTTGCAAATGCTTTGAAAAGAGCAGCATAAAGCATCCTTTCTAACTGACCCAGGATCCCAGTGCCAAAGGCAAGGGAGACTCCCTGTACCCTAACTTGATTATAACCAGGCCAGTGATTGGTTCTCTCTCACCTAAAATGCCATCGGTAAGCCAGGAGGGAAGAATCTAAGCCATGTGTAACCCCTAAGGTGGGTTCTCTGCTGGCTGGATAAGTTACGTAGACAAATTATCTTGATTACACTAGGAAATGCTCATAAAAGTAATATTCAAAGTCAACTGAACTTTATATCAAGGATAAGAATTAAAGGTAGTTGTGTTGCTTTGGTAGATGAGTAAAATCTGTGACAGGAGTAGAACCTAAGTGATGATTGGAAACTAGAAGAAAAGGTCTTATTCTAGAAGAATGGACTTATATTCATAAGGGCCAGTCCTGGGGAAGGAAAACATACAGCACACATACAGGATGGAAAAGGCAAGGCTGGGGCTCCATGGAGGCGCTCGCCACGGGCGCAAATCAGTGTCACTGAGTTGTCCTCTCTCCTAGGGCTCTGACATGGCTTGCTTAGCACTGTGGATTTTTTACATTAATTTTGATTTTTTTTTAATGTATAAAATATGCATCTTGATGACTGAATTTTTGGTGCCCTCTTAAACTTTGCCTCTCTTGCCTCACCCTATTCCTGGCCCAGAGGAAACACAGCCCACCAGTAGATTTAACCTTCTTTGGAAACAGTCCTTCGGTATTTGAATATAGTCTTTCCTCTGAATGAGAATGAGGCAGGTTCACTAGAGGAGGGACCCGTGTGCAGACTAGGTGGTGAAGTCCCTTGCGACTCAAAGTGGGGGAGGATTTGGAGATTGGACGCCAGTCCCCACACTCCCCTCTTCCTGGTTGGCAAAGTCAGCATTCATTGCAGTGGTGCAGGAAGGCTTCCTGGAGGAGGTGGCATTTAGCTGACCTTTGAAGTTGGGCTACCATTTGAGAGGGCAGTCTTCTCAGGAGAGGGGAACTTTCAAAACAAAGTCATGGAAGCAGATGCAAACTATTATATATAGGATGGATAAACAACAAAGTCCTACTGTATAGCACAGGGAGCTATCAATATCCTGAAAGTCATGGAAGCAGATGCAAACTATTATATATAGGATGGATAAACAACAAAGTCCTACTGTATAGCACAGGGAGCTATATTCAATATCCTGTGATAAACCATAATGGAAAGAATATTAAAAAAAAAAAAAGTGGAAGGGGCGGGGAGGACATGGCAGCAGGACGGACTCTCACCTGGGCCTTTGTCCTTTGTTGTTTATCTGTTTTATATAGAGTGGTGTGTATATGTTAACCCCAAACTCCTAGTTTATCTCCTGCCCCTTCCCCTTTGGTAACCATAAATTTGTGGTTCAACAGGGGAAGTTTAAAAGCAGCAGAAAAGTGAGCCCAAGTGGGGCAGGTGGGGGAGGAGGGGTACAGAGAGGTAGAGTCAGATTTATTAGTGAAGGAATGAAAGGCTGAGCAAACCATCCCAGACTGGCGAGGAATGGGGAGCGGCCCGTGGGGTGAGTTGGTGGTGTTTTATGCCAAACAGTTTTTCTGTTACTGGAGCGTCCAAGTGCATTCGCTTATTGATGGTCCTACCATGTCTTGGCTAATTTTCAGTTTGTGGTCAACAAAGCCCTTTAGGTAATTAATTGTGTCATGTGGACTCTCATTTTGCACATTCTCCCTTATACAATTTGTCTTTCCAACTGTGGTGAGGAGTGATGACAGTTGGCTCCTGAAATCTTCAATGTGCATCCAACAGCCTTAAAAACGCCTTGAAGCTGGGTTTTCATGACTCATGTGTGCATGGTCCCCTGTCGTCCACCAGAGGGTCCCCTAATACTGGATGATGTCTCCTTTGCTCCAGGACTAGGTCATTACTAAGAGAAGAGGACAGCATAGTACTCTTATTTGCCTGTTCTGTATTCATAGTTTTAATTATAATAAATCAAAAATATCCCAGTAAACATTTTTAAATAAGGAACTGGTAACTAAAACTTTCTTAAGAGGGAATTTGACATAAAAGGGTAAATGTTGACAAATTTAGAAAATAGGAGTGTCTTTAAAGGATTTATAATCAGCATTATATTCAGTATCTATTTATGGGAGTAACTGATGCCTTTGCAGCTGCAGGATGAAATTCTAATGGGTACTTAGCCATCAGTATATAGAATCAGATTTAAGCTGGCCCTCAGGCTCTGTTGAGTAGTCTCTTATGATTTGTAGTCTCAATACAGAGGTGTACAGAATCTGTTTTTATTTCTATTTTTTTTTCTTTCCACCAATCAGGTCACATGAGGGGTTCCCTGCTTACTCTGCAGAAATTAGTTCAACTATTTCCTGATGATGCTTCCTTAAAGAATGACCTTGGAGTGGGGTACCTCTTGATAGGAGATAATGATAGCGCCAAGAAGGTTTATGAAGAGGTAAGCAAGCAGCAATTTGCTACTAACAATTAATCAAATTATTTTGAACACGAAGTTCTAATGTTATTTGTAAATTGCATTTAATACACCTAATCGCTCAATCTCTTTAAGTTAAATCAAATTTGTCTCATTATAGTTGACATATCCTAAATTTTTTCATCTCCCTTTTTTTTTCCACTTCATCAGAAGATTTTAAATTTTAGTTAACATTTGGTATATCAAAACCTTCAACCTATAATTGTGATCTTTTTAAAACTTATATATTGATATTTATCAGTCCACAAGCAGCCTTTCTAAAAATGTTCTTTATGATAGGAAAAGGAACTGAAAAACTTATGCGCTTAAACTCATGAACTTAAAAACACATAATCTTGTACGTTTTTTACTAAAAGACCAAACTAGAGAGAGACTACAGAACGCAAGCCTTTTGAGCACATGGAATAAATGACTCACCTTTCAGAGGGCATTGACTACCTGATCTTCTAGCAAGGATACCTTTAAAAGGATGTCTGCCTTATAATGGATGCTCTAATGAATAACTGCTAAGTCGCAAGTAACTATGTAATCTAGAAAACTATGACTCCTTCAAGCAATGAGGGACGTCATTTGGTACAACTTAAACAGGATACCAAATGAACTTTGAAGCTGGAGCAAGTTAATGCCTCTGTAAAAGAAAGATGAACACATTTACTTGTTATTCTTTACTTTAGGCCTCGGGATCAGTGGTTTTCAGGCTGGTGCACTTTGCATCAAAATGCAGATGTCCCTACTCAGTAGAGACAATATGATTCCTTCTATTTTTAAAATGCTGTCAGGTATAGTGATTTCATACTCAGTCTCGAGACTGGGTCCACCCACAAAGTGGTGCTTTCCTCCTTTTATTACCGTTGGTCCCATAATTGGGAATCACTGGATTTAGGAGCAGTTGTCTTTTGACTTTTGTCCTAATTTTTACATTTTCTGAGAGAGCAGAAGTAAGACCTTTGCTGTTTGTAGCATCTCTAATATCTGTTCAGAGTGGGTCGAGCTTAAAGTGTTGAAAATTTGTGCCACGTGCTAAAGTACCCGTTACAAGTCATAAAATAAGTCCGTACGGGGCATTGTATTTGCTAATGGCTGGGTGCCCTGCCTTGTAAAGTTTGGTTAAAGGAAACATCATGTATCTCAGTGATTCAGGAACATATGAATATAAGAACTGTCAAACTATATCAGACATACCCATTATTCTGCTACGGTCACAAGGCACAAAGATGGAAGTATAGAATTTCTCCCTTCCTTCCTTCCTCCCTCCCTCCGTTCCTTCCTTCCCCAAAACCATGATCAAGTGTCTACAGGGTGTCAAGCACATTTGAGGTTCGGGCGGGATCTGAAAGCATCCTGGTCTCTTTCACCCACTATGGATTTGTCCTTCTCTAGCTTTTCAAAATCTTCCTTAAATATATTCATTCTTTTCACCCGGTACTAAATCTCAACTATGTGAAACATTTTACTTCATTTTGAAACATAAAACTTACCTGCTGTTGTTTATACATTTGAAATCATAACCTCATCGGGATAAACATAACGGGATGCAGAAAATCTAAACTAGAGCCTTATTATACAACCGAGTGAGTTTCTATTTGAAGAAGCATTGCTAAACTGAAAATAAGTGTGGGGTTTGCCTTTTGTACCCTCCTGTCACTGCTAAGTTAACAAGGTTAATAAACTGAATCTGATAGATTCTCTTTACTAAAGTTTATCCTGATATGTTTGTCTCAGTCAAAGATCATTTGCAGCAAATGGATGTTTTGTAATTTTATATTTTTATCCATGTTGATTTTCATCTTTGAGTAAATTTATGAAAATCAGCGATCGTTCCCTTTCTGGGTTTTGTTTTGTTTGTTTTGCTGCTTTTAGTTTCAACAAAGATTGACCCACACACACTTGCTTGGGAAAACAAGTCACTAATCTCGGTTAATTTTAACTTCCTCGATATCTTTCAAATCCCCTCCCTTTTTTTTTTTTTTTTTTTTTTTTTTTCTTGCGTTATGCGGGCCTCTCACCGTTGTGGCCTCTCCCATTGCGGAGCACAGGCTCCGGACGCGCAGGCTCAGCGGCCATGGCTCACGGGCCCAGCCGCTCCGAGGCATGTGGGATCCTCCCGGACCGTGGCACGAACCCGTGTGCCCTGCATCGTCAGGCGGACTCTCAACCACTGCGCCACCAGAGAAGCCCTCCCCTCCTTTTTTAACCCAGGCCCCATCATCTCTTGCCTAAAGTAGGATAGATCCACTCCGTCCAGGCTTGTTCTCCTATGATCTTCATCAACACAAAATGCCAATCTTACCTCCCACCCTTGGCTTCAGCTCTTTTAGTGGTTCCCACTGCCCACAGCAGTGATCTTCAAACGTGTTCCGTTGCGTCCCCTTGCAGTAAAAACTGTTCAAACAAAAACTTGTGATATGTATGTTTATGTGTTTATATATTATGTCTGTGTATGTATGTACTAATCTGTGATGTACATTGTGAAAGGTCCACGTTCTAAAATAGGTCTTAATATGAAATGAAATATTTCAAATACTTTAAAAATTTCATTTAACTGCCAACATTTTTTTAACTCACACTGAAAAATTGATATTTTAGTCACATCCATGTGCAAAGACTATTTATGATTGTATGATTTTTTTTTAATCCTGGTAGTGTGTCCTGCAGAGTTTGTGCTGGAACTAGAAATGTCAGCTCTGCCAGTTTGTTGTTGTCTGTGCCTTGTGCGTATGTGTGTGTGTGTTTGTATGTGTGTGTATGTGTAAAGAGAGGGAGGGAGAATCTGTGTAACATTTTTAGTATTAATCTCAATTTGGTTTTCTTAGAAATCTTCATTTTCTGAGGGCTTGTTGATTACACCTAGATAATACAACCTGTGCATCCATTATGCACCGCATGTAAACTGCAGTAAGCACGGTAGGTGATCGTAAAGAATCAAGCCTAGAGGGCAGCCCTGTCGGTCACTCTGGGTCCTGATCGCCCACCCTCCCCTCACAGCAGGTGTATGAGTGGGACGTGGGACTGTCCACCATGCAGATGAGAGGAGAGCCCTGGAGCAGTTGCACAGTCCATATTATATTTCATAGACAGATATAGGTAGAGCATTTGTCATTTCTTTCCACTCTCCCTGAGGATTATCTTGTACGTGATACTGAACAGGACCTTCCGTGGTTTGCCTCCTGTCCTTTTCTCCAGTCTCATTGCCTTTGCTGTTCCTGGCCCACTATTCCTTTTTATTCACTTTCTCCTGTGCCTTGAATGCCTCCCCCAAAGTCCCCCACCTTCCTTTTCCCTGGTGAACTCCCATTCATCCCTAAATAACTTTTAGCACTCGCCCCTGCCACACCCACCCTAGAGTGAGCTAGATGCCCATCCTCTGTACCCCTCCGTGCCTCACGCCTATTGCTGTGCTTACACTTACCACGGCGCATTGCTGTGGTCCTCTTGTGCGTCTGTCGCCTTCCCTTGACTGAGAGCTTCCTGAGAAAAGAGGGTATATCTCATTTATGTTGATATGTCCAGAGCCTAGAAAAGTTCTGTGTGTTCTGAAATAGCTAGTAAATTAATACATTTGCTAATTACTTGAGATGATGGCTATGTCTATGGCAAACAGAAATGTCATCTGTATAGCTGCAGTAATTGTAATAATTCCTTCATAGTTGTGCTACCAGAAATGTGATCAGCCTCAGTACAGTTCAGTTCCAGAAGTGTTTATTGAGCTCTGGCTCAGCACCTGACTCAGTAACAGCGCTGTGGAAGGTGCAGAAGAGGCAGAGTCTGGGCTCTCAGAGATCTAGTTGGGGAGTTGAGCCCGGCATGCACCCATCCGTTCAGTTAGTACAGAGTTCTCCACGACCTGCTGTGTACTCAGCACTGCTCCAAGCACTGGGGGTCAGCAGTGAGTGCAACAGACAAAATCCCTGCAGAGTTTCCATCTTTGTGGAGGAAATCCAAATAAAATAAGTCAGATGGTGACGAGTGCTATGAAGAAAAAGGAGTCTCACCATAAACAAGTTAGAAAGTGATAGTGATGCAGCTGGAGGGTCTGTTTTATATCAGGTGATTCGGCTTAGGCTTCACTGAGATGCTAACCTTTGAGCAAGGATTTCATCACAGTAAGGGAGTGGGCCATCTGGATGTCTGGGAGAAGACGGTTTGAGGCAAAGGAGTACTGCATGTGCAAAGGTCCTGAGGCAGGGGTGCCTTTGGCCTTCTATGCAGCAACAAGGAGTCCAGGGTGCCTCAGAGTGGCTGATGGGGGTGGATAGGAGAGGAGGCCAGAGAAGTAGAGAGGCCCAGCCCAAGGGAGGTCTTAGAGACTGTTCCTAGAACTTGGTCTTACTCTGAGTGAAATCAAACCCCTTTGGGTTTTGCATAGAGGAGGGATAAAATCTGACTTAGGATTTAGTGTGTCCTTTCAGGACCCATGTAGAGAATGGGTTACAGGAGAGTGGGGCTGGGGTTCAGAGGGTTAGCAGTTAGGAGGCTTCTGTAAGAAGGTAGCAGAGAGACAATACACTTGGACCAGGATGGCAGCAGTGGAGGAAGTGACAAGGAGTTTGATTCTGAATATATTTAATGGTATCGTTGGCTGGATTTGCTAGTGGATGAGGTGCAGGCGCAGATGCAAGATGGAAAACACTAAAATATTGGCAGGGTGCACTGTGGACTCACCAAGAGTATGGGGTCCCTGCCCAGCACACTTACTCCTTCTGTGTAAAAGATCCCATGACTCCCTTTTCCTACTCAGGCTCAAGGATGAAGACAAGCTGTAGGATATTCATCTTTTCTCTACATGCGTTCAACTCAAACCTTCTTTACCCTTTACTTTTGGTCTGTAAATTAGTTTGTCAAAGCAGCTTCACAAGTTGAATGTTTTTTTGGTTTCTCACTGCTAATATTTAATTTAGAGGCATTTTGCGTAATTTATCTTTAATCGTAGTAAATGCATACGATAATAAACAATGATCTGATTTATATTAAATATTTACCTGGGTTTTATCACAGAATATTGGATTTGGTCACCACTTTATCCTCAGTCTTTAAAATAGTCTGGGTGTTCAAGAAATTTATGATGGATCGTGATATATTTTCAATGCAAATCTAAATTTTCTCATAATTAAGGCAATGTATAAAGCATGTACATAAAGAAATGCATATTAACATTTGGAGTTGACCTCAAGTAAAGCTAATTTAAAGCAGTTTTTCGTGATCACTACAAAAATACTGAAGTCATGAAATTGACAGAGGTTTTGCTGATTTGCATTGTTAAAGCAATGCTTTAATGGTCACTGCCTTTTCATTCATTTCTTCATTCTTGGAGAACATTTTGAATTGAGGGGAATTGGGGCCATTTAAGCCTAAGGTATTGCAATGAGACAAAACACTATAGCATTTTAAGCTATGACATCATAATCCAGTCCCAGTACTGTACAGCAAAGCTAATAAAAATTTGTTTTGATGGTCATTTGTAGAATTCATAGTCCATCACAATAGCTTTTTGTTTTCTTTGGGTTTAGGTTCTAAATGTGACGCCTAATGACGGTTTTGCTAAAGTGCATTATGGCTTTATTCTGAAGGCACAGAACAAGATTGCTGAGAGCATCCCTTATCTCAAGGTAACTCCCTCCGTTTTCCTCTTCTGATCCCTTTGAGTCATTTGGACACCCTTGATTATGTATTGTAGATTGATTGGCATGCACTGCTGACTCTTTTCAATGCTGAGATGTACACCCTTGGACCATGACATTCACAGACAGTGTGGACCTTCAGCATATAGTCAAGAGTATCAGAGGCAGAAGTACCAACTATGTGAGCAGAGACTATTTGGAAACAATTTCATGAAGGAATTCCTAAAACTGCAGTTGTTATTAGTTGATAAGATATTTTAAAATTTGGACAATGTGTTAACTGTTACTTTTACAATTTTTTTTTTTTGTGGTACGCGGGCCTCTCACTGCTGTGGCCTCTCCCATTGCGGAGCACAGGCTCCGGACGCGCAGGCTCAGCAGCCACGGCTCACGGGCCCAGCCGCTCGGTGGCATGTGGGATCTTCCCGGACCGGGGCACAAACCCGCGTCCCCTGCATCGGCAGGCGGACTCCCAACCACTGCGCCATCAGGGAAGCCCACTTTTACAATTTAATTATACCTTGAAATGACTTTGAACAGGGCTCACAGAAACCTTTAGAAAGCGAGGTAACAAATGCAGACTGAATAGGACAAATCCCCAAGAGCCTGATAGCCTTGAAGTCTCAGATTAAAATATGCTATCATTTTTTTCTCACATAAAAATTGAAGTTCACCAGAATCACATTTGGTCTGGCTCAGGGGTCTCCAGCAGAACTTACTGCCACAAAGGAAATGGTCTTTATTTGTATCCTCTAATATGGTAGCCACTAGCCACACGTGACTGTTGAGCATCTAAAATGTGGCTGGTGTGACTGAGGAACTGAATTTTTTATTTTAATTGTAATTTAAATAGTAACACTAGCTCCTAGCTACCATATCAGCCAGGTAGCTGATTGGCTACTTGTGAACTTTAATTAGTACTTTTGTGATCCACCTTTGTGATCTCTTTCTTTCACATGACTTTGATCCGAGATCCCCAATAGCAACCCACTGATTGCAAGTAGCTTGCATGTTCTATTTGGCCAGATAATTCTCTTAAAAACAATTTTAAGGCTTCCCTGGTGGCGCAGTGGTTGAGAGTCCTCTTGCCGATGCAGGGGACGCGGGTTCGTGCCCCGGTCCGGGAAGATCCAACATGCCGCGGAGCAGCTGGGCCCATGAGCCATGGCCGCTGAGTCTGCGCATCCGGAGACTGTGCCCCGCAACGGGAGAGGCCACAGCAGTGAGAGGCCCGCGTATCAAAAAAACAAAACAAAACAAAACAATTTTAATTGCTTGCCTTAGTTGAAAATCTGAACATTTTATATAATCATGCAGATTTCTGGTGTCTCTGGAAAGTTCACATGTGGCCCACATCTCAGCACAGGAGCTGAGCAATGGTGTCCCCTTGAGGTGGGCATGCACCCCTCAGTCTGTCTTGGCTGTCACTGGGCCTCTGCAGCCTGCCTGTTCCCTACCATGACCCTGTGGGCATGTGGGTTTTTCTGATTTAAAGTGTTCCCCTTAGATTTCCTTTCATATAATAAGGACCTAACGGTACTCTCCTGGCTCAGGTATGAGGAAGTGGAGGGCAGGGTTGGTTAGTTAATGAGCAAAAGGGCGTTTATTTGAGTGTCAGTCAGTCAAAAGCCGAGATCACAGCTCTCCTCTCATGAGTGATGCTTCTGTTCCGTGCTGCTATTTTCCAACATTATGCAAATAAAATTTCTTCTGAGTAAAAGATAACGGGCTCCTTGTGAAGAGGCCTCAAAGATGCAGTTTTTTAGACATTTAAATATGTTGTATCTTCATCCTTCTTTTACTTTTCTAAATTCATTCTCTTGCTCTTTCTGATTTTTACATAAGTTTACATAAGTTTACATAATTTCAGTTCTTTCTGATTTTTACATAAGTTTAAATTTCAGTTCTTTTCAGTTCTTCAGTGGGGATGGAAATCAGCTGAGTGTTTTAGGATAGGAGGTGTTTAATAAAATTAAAGATTCCAACTGGCTTTAATCCTGTTGTATGTTCTGTCAAAGATTTCATTGAAAAGTGAGGACACATTTGTTTTGAGTGGAAAAATAATATTATTTGCAGTTGGGTCTCTATCATTTCAAACATCTATGAGCAGCTAAACATTTTGGTTCAGGGATAAAAAAGCCTCTAGATGACATATGGTCAGATTTGGAGAGCAAAATAAACGTGATAGAAACTCGGACAAAGAAATTCTTTGAGATATTGAAATACAATTGCTCCTGCAGAGACAGTTCACAAAGCGTCATACTGATTTTGTGGGGTATTCCACTGTTAATTGATGATGAATATATTGTTTAGTTGAACTTTATTACCTCCCTTTGGCTTTGCATTGTAAGTGTTGACCAGTAACCTAATTGCCAAACTTTAATATTGAGGTGATTTTCTGATTCTTAGAAAACATTAAGTAAATCAATGAATTAAATCTGGTGTTTAATTCTTTCATAAATACTGACACTGTCCTTTCTACAGGAAGGAATAGAATCTGGGGATCCTGGCACTGATGATGGGCGATTTTATTTCCACCTGGGGGATGCCATGCAAAGAGTTGGAAACAAAGAGGTAATGCATTCGTGAACTTTTTGTTCTCTTTAACAGAAGATAGAGGAGGGGGAAAGTATTTCTATGAGAGAGTTGCAATTGAAAAACATGTGTTAAGCATAAACTTTTGAAGGTGGTGATTTAAACTTTTTGTAACAACCTAACAATTCTTACTAAATCCTATAAAGAATTTTTGGGATTTGACTTTTATAATTTCTTTCAAGAAAGTATCTGAATAATCATGAGTAGCCTCTGAATTAGTGTGCCTGTGTGTATGTCTGTGTGTGTATCTATAGAGATAGATATTGCCTTGAAAAAATATTTTTAAAATTATGAAATGAAGAGATGTGTCTGAAATATTTAAAATATTTTTGAGATAATTTTACAGTTTGCCTAGATTTATTTTTATTTTATTTTGGAATTTAAAAAGTAGTTATTTTTAGAATGAAGCCTTTATTCAACTGATTCCTAAGCACACTGAACCCAGTAGTTAATTGTGTAATTTACCTTCCAAAATATTTAATGCCAAGTTGAATACCTATAGCTATAATAATGACTGCTATTGACACAGAAAATATAGTAGCTAAAGCAAATCACATGTTTTCTTTGTGATTATTCCTTTTTTTCTGAGTACAGTGTCAGCTTCTTTAAACATAACATTTGGTCATTAATCATGACATCATACCATGTAAATTCCCAAACTCTCACGATCCACTGTGGTTCACACAACATTGCTGGGCTGTCCTTCACCATCGCGTGGCTCTAGGCTGGGCTGTCCTTAGAGTCAGGGATCAAAGGCTGTAGTGAGTCCTTGGCTCTTTGTAACCATGCATTCCATATATGTAATAAAGTGACATCTAAGGATAACATAGCTTCGGGTTTCTAAAATTAATAAGAACATGGGACCATTTGGACAACTGGGTGTTCATTGGAGCAAGGGGTTTTGTGATGGGGTCATTGCCAGCTAGTGACAGGAACCAATTTCGGGTAACAGAAATTTGGATAATTGACACTGTTTTCTTTATACATTTCTGTGTATCTATACCTTTCCCCCTCTGACCTACCAGTCAATCAACTGGAATAGAATGAGAAACGAGAGGCAAAGAGAAAGAAGGGAGAAGAAATTGCTGATTAGTAGTCACTTTTGTGTTCCTTCATTCCTTTAAGATGTAAATGCCTGGTACCTCCTTTGAATGAGAGGGATAAGAAAGATTTTGCTACAGTATCTAACACTTGATAAGTGTTCATATGTGATTGCTATAAATGTAATTGTCACTAATTAATTAACCTTTTAACATCTCATGGTCCAGGACAAAGGCATGTAAAAGAAGTCTGTGATTTATTCTCACATCTTAGATGAAAACAGCCCTTACTTCAAGGGCAAAGAATTCACTACTACACATTGTTAGGGGCTTGGGATTTGAACCTGTGGGATTGTTCTATCAGCTTAATTATCATTAAGACGCAAAGAACAGCACAGTTCTTGAATTTAAATGCTCACAAAGATTCATCCTTATAGGAGAAACAAGCCTATAGAAATCCCACGTTAGCATATTCTCCATATTAGGTGTTGAATCTGAGTTGACTCTCTGTGCTCTGAGTTTTCATACCGGGAAGCAACCCTCCTTCATGCTCTTAAGCTCTGCTCCAGGCATGAAAAGAGAAGCAAAACCACAGCCTCTGTGCTGCAGAAGCTGACAATAAAGTAGTTTTGACTTTTCTCACGGGATCGTTTCGTATGGGCAGGAAACGGGAGAAAGACCAATCATGATACTCTCGTAGCAGTTCAGCCTCAGCTTTTCCCAGAATTTCTGTAACTCCCAAATCCACATTCGAGCTCCCGTCTCCTACTCAAAGTCCACAGTCCACTGCCTGCCGAGTTTCTCCACACGACGCCGCAGTGACAACTCACTTGTTCTCCTCTAAACCACGTTTCTTCCTGGGTTCTGGCTCTCATTGGTTGGTATTGCCAGCTCCCAGGACCCAGACTTGAATCAGCTTAGCTCCGCCCTTTCCTGTGACAAGCCCCCTCCTCACTCCAGTCCGGTCAGGTCAGTCAGCTTCTTCGGATGTCTGGCGTCCATCTCATCTTCCCTCTTGCTTGGTCGGTGTTCTAATTCCAGCCTTTGTTACCGTCCACCTCTGTGATGGCTGCAAGAACCTGGCCGTCATTTCCTGCTTTAGTCTTGCTTTCTTCCAGGCATCTTGGGCTCAAGAACCCCATGGTGCAAAATAGAAATAAAGCCCTCTTCCCAAACGATGGCATTCATGGTTCTCCCAGGCCAGTTGAACCACCTGTTCTCATCACAAGTGTGTGTCCCATGTCCCACTGTGCACCACGCTCCAGGCAGAACAGGCTCTGGCTGCGGTCACGTACCACGGACGCCAAACGTGGCCTGGGCTTTTCTGAGTTAGACTCTCTTGACATTACTATTTCTATGTAGTTATGTAGTGTGTGTGTGTGTGTGTGTAAACTATACCTGGCATTAATTTGAAGTATAGTAGACATTGATATAGACCATATTTAACAAGGTGCCCAGGTATGCTTTCTGTCTATTTTAGTATTCCTGTAAAGAGGATATTTTCAGAGGATTCTAACAACTTGATCATGGATTTTCTAGCAACTTTTATTGTGAGGTAGTCTATATGTTTAAAAAAAAAAAAAGCAGTCTGGCTGAATTCATTGGGTCTCCTATATAATTGAAGGTATCATTGAAGATGATTTTTTTAATTTCGAATATATCATTTCACAGTTTTGTTTCTCTAAAAGTTAAATGGCACTTTGATGCACTGTTTGATGCACTTTGAGTGTCAGAAAAGCTCTATGTGCAGTTAAACATGCCCCCGTAAGCAAAGTCTCTTGCCCAGACATTCAGCCTGGTGAGTGTTAAGGCCAAGACTGAAATCTAAGACTTGTAACTCCTGAACTAGAGTTATAAGTTTTTCTATAATATGTATATTAATATAATATGATAATAATATATTTTCCTGTAAGAATTTTTCTCACTACTCTAACAATATGCCTAGTCCTTAAAGTGAATTGCTGATGATTAAAAATCTAATGGACTGTAAGAGTTTCCAAAAATCATCTGTTGTAATTAATAATGTTGTTTAATAATGAAAATTATAGGAAACAAAATCCTAAATTTAAATTGGACAAAAATAACTGAAATACTCAATTTAATTTCAAAGGTAAAATGCTATATTTTTTGAAATCAATGAACCATGAGCCGTTTTTTTTTTTTTTTTTTT